CGTCTAAAAGACCACAACTGTTGGTAGAACGGAAATTGAAGGCCAGTCCAGTCTTCAGTATAGTCACATACGTATATCTCGACTCTAATACTCACGCAGCGAACGTTAACTAATTTACTGATTTCTATTCTCTATAATTTTCACTAAGTTGTGTTGGTAAAGTAACACTGGAAATAATTGTAATAGCATTCACACCTTTTAACGTTTTACATATGTTCACTTCTTAAAATTAGATTGTTATTAAAATACTTAAAATGATTAAAATATTTATGCATCAAATGTTCTCTTGCTTTACCACGCTTGTTTCCCTTATAACACTCAATTATTGAGCCTAGTGTATTATTTGATATACGAATTATAATATTGATTATACTCTTATCATATATGGGTTGATTTACTTTACGGCTCCCTGTAGACTAACTACCATTCTTCAGTATACACACACTGCAGTATTGTTAACAAATGCTAAAATGTTGTTGGTTCTGTGTTAATATCTTTTTATAATATGTCTAGACACGTTACTTTGCAATGTCAGATGTTTACTATATATAAGTACACTAAGTCCTGCCAACCAACCTTACCTTCAGTTCATACTACCTACATTGAACCCTAACTATAGTGTTCTGCTGAATCTTGCTCCACTATTCACAAAACCTATTCTTTTTTTTTTAAGTTTTTAACTTCTTACAAAGTAATCTGTTCATTAGGACGCATGCACACATATATAATATGTTCATAAAGATGTACGTGGAGACCTATTGGAAGCACTCATGAAGAAAGCTAGGGAGATGGAATATGGGGTTCGAACATGTCTGGTACCAAACAATATATTTGCGGTAACCATAATAATAATGGTCTCAGAGTCATAAATCGTAAAATCAGGGAGGGTGGCGCTAGCTGATCAGTAGATATGGTGGTGGTCACTTAGGTGAATCGACCCATTCTGCAGGAACAGCAATATGCAATTTGTCGACTCGAGATATTTCTGATTTTTATGAGGGATTAGATCTTTATCTTGAAAAAGATAATAATGAACGCCTAGACAGATCATGTTTCTACCTTTAAACATATACCATTCGCTCAGCTTATTGTTGAGATGCGACCACATGGGCTCTGCACAAATTTATGGGGCAACTTATAAATTATCTTGCTATCCACTGTCAGATCTTTAAATACCACTTCACGATGTATTATCCCATTCATTTTCTAATAACGTCTTTACTTGATCCTCATTATATTCCATTAAACCTAACATTTTATAGCTCTTTATGAATTTGATTCAACTTATTCTATTCCTATTCTCTGTAGGGTACGATTGTGCACCAAAAAGACAAGAAAGTATGAAATAAAAACAACTGGCTTGAAAATAATTGTATTAAAGCCAAAAGTGGACATCATGAAACTACAAACTATATGGGTAATATCATACATTGCAAATGAACGTTGTCGGCCTAAGGATTAATTACTTCCCCATTCTGTTTCCTATATAAATGTATTTATTAATGATATATTGCACTTACTTAATTCATTACACTTTAATGATTCACCTCAGCACTTTAACTTTCCTAAAACAGCTTTCAATCCCTTGTAAACGTTGTACTTACCTCAATATTGGCTGGTTATCGTATGCCTACAACCACGGGATGAAAATAAAACGAAGTCGATTTTCCCGCGAAACCTTGAGGACAACTGTACAATTCAATAACTACACGACCTGGTTCAGACAATGAGTGCAATTATATATATATATATATATATATATATATATATATATATATATATATATATATATATATATCAAATATTTAACTGTTAAACATTATTAACTTGCAGACAATCTGCGATTTGAGATTATACCATACTTGATCGTGCCTGTAAAAATGGCATGCATTTTCATGTAAATTTATGTTTATATGAAAATATAAATTATTATTATTATAATTATTGTAGGAGTCAAAGCTGGGTGCTTATTATCACCAATGATGTTCCTAATTGTGGTGGATTGGATTATGTCTCAGACAGTGAGAAACGGGAAGACGAAACTAAATAAAATGAATCCAGATTGTTCTGCGCCAATGTTTCTTCTTTCTTTGTTCAAATTTATTATAAGGAATATTTGTATAAAATTCATATTTTTAATGAAAACGTCAAGTCAATTCTTCACAAAGGATCAGAAACTTGGCGGGTCACAAACAATATGTCAAACAGCCTGTTGCAGACCTTTATCAACAACTATCTTCGATCCATACTAACGATCAGATGGCCGGAAATAATGACAAAAAGAAACTTTTGGAACGGACAAAAATAGAACCAATCGCCCAACACATATGGAGGAGAAAGTGGAGATTGATTGGACATTCGCTGAGCAGGCCGCTAGGTGACATCTGCCGTCAGGCCAGTGCTCGAGTGGAACACGAAAAAGGAGGTGGCGAGTAGGACGTTCAAGGGTGACATAGAGGATGTCGTGTGAAGAAGTGTTAAGGCAGTATGGACTAACATGGATGCAAGTGAAAAGAACAGCAGAAGATAGAATCAAGTGGAGACGTGCAGTTCAAGCCCTATGTTCCACTAGGAACCCAACCGAACAATAATAATACAATTACAACGAGTGCAATCGCCAGACATTTAATTGACACAGGACACACAGTAGAAATCAGCCATGCCTTCAAAATAATCAATACGCAAAGAAACCCATGGCTACTTCGTTTCGCAGAAGCCATCGCTATCAAGAGACTTCGACCAGACCTCTGTACACAGAAAGATAGTGTGACTAATCTTTCACTACCCTGGTAACCCTAATCCTATTTTATCTATTTATTTTTGTTTTTTGTTACTTACTTCACTATTCACCCCCACCCTCTTAAACTCTCCACCACATGTGTAAATTCACTCTGTTCTCTGACCTTGACCCTATAATATGCCTCGAACCAATCTGCGTTTCCCAATAGTAATTTGAACTCTAATTCTAATTCCACTATCTAATTTCACTATATATAATTAGTTTTTTTTTGACACTGAATAATCTGTCTACCTACATCGAATTCCGGAATTAGGTTCCTTATAACTTCTATTTATAACTCCAAGTAATTATGAAAAAGTATGTTCCAAAACTTTTTTGAAACTTATAATTTGATTCTGTTTAGGATGTATGCAGTTGATGAGTATCCACGAAATAAAACGAGCTCGTATTATCCTGCGAACATGTTCGTTCTTTCTCTCTTCAAACTAATAAAGGGAACCGGTTGTATGAAACAATTACAAACATCAGTCCATTTTATGTTTCATTATGTCTTTGATGCATGATGTACACGTTTCTTTGTCTTCAAAATGCGTATATCAAGTACACTTAATTAAAACATAAGATAAAGGATTGGCATAGCAATCTACCTATAATCAATAAATGTTTGAGATATCAGTGAAGATGTTACGCTCTCTGGTTTCAAAGAAAATGTCGTTTTTCGCACTAATTCAGTATAAAAAACCATTACTACACTCCTGTTTATATCAGTGTTCTGCACTGGCATGTCGATTAATTCACCTTTCATTTAATTAATATTATTTTATCAAATCCGCTATCTGCTGTGACTGAGGATAAACTCATTGAAACTTCGTCAAAGAAATCTCGATTATTGTTGAAGTTATATCTGAGATGACCACATTATTCATGCTCATGAAACTGCCTCAAACTGACCGCTGAGTGGAATAACTTGTGAAAATTAAATTGTAATGAATGTCAAAATGGTCGATTTCTTCATCTAGACTTATTATTAATCAAATCCGTAGGATTCATTACCTCTGAAGTAAACATCATATCCAAACTCTTTTATAACTCAATGGAAATTCAATTTTCCAAGGTAGTGTAATGAGGGTTTAAAAAGGTTAGTAACTCAATATTTGCGATTCATGTCTCTGACGTTGTTGTTTCACAACGCTCAGGTGCAATAGCAAACTAAATTTTGGTGAAAATTTCTACTGACTCTAAATCACTATCATCAAAACTGTGTCAATTTAAAATAAATTTGTATTCCGGAATTTATTGCAAATGTGTTTCAATTGATTGTTGCAGGATACATGTCGAATATATAAAAATACTGACAAGCTTATATGGACGTTCTATTTTAGAGAATGCGCTTGCTACCTTGACGTTTTATTCGAGAACACTCACAGGCTATCAGCGATCAAATCGAGAGTGAACACATGTATGTTCAACTTTAATTTAGGACTTAAACATGGTTTATATTTTTACGAGATTGAGACATTCAACTGAAATACTAATTTTATAACAGCAGATTATTCAAATATCTTCACTAGTATGGCAATTGCAATACTGTCAACCAACAATTTGTTGCGATGCCGTCGAATCTGATGATCAAAATTGGTTTCATCGAAAATGTACTGCCTATAATCTGCGAAAAAGGAATAGTATTTACGGAAAGAACTCTTAGCTTCAAACAAATCTTTTCATTAGGCAAACGCGTCTTCAAGACATATATATATACTCACACTTTCGTTCCTTAGCGCACAACGAGCTTCTTCTGTTACTTTTAAAGCCTGAGGTATAACTTCTCATGAGGTCTGGGGTTCACACTCAGAAGAAGATGGTGATCAGACCACGGCTAATGCAAATAACTATCCAAAATTTGTTCATTTGCATCATAATCTTATTCATTTGAAGCAGAGTCACTTAAAACCAAAACAACTTATTGAATCTGAAGTTGTATTGTATTTTTGTCACTTCAAATTTGTGTTCTACTCCTGTATAAGAAGTATTCATTTTCCAATCAGTCAGTCACAACTCATTATGGTGATACAGATGTTTGGAGCATTGATTTTGTCAAAAACAACAAAGCTTTCTGTGTTTACAGTGATTTGTGGCGCCTGTCAAGATAGCTCGCTTATGAAAGAGAGTATATGTCTTCTAAAATGTTCATTTCTGTTGTAAACAATGATAAGAAAGAGTATATAAGCATAACTAAACATAGTTAAAAAAGTAAATCACAATGAAAGTCAGCAAAGTAGCTATATTGCTGATCTGCGTTTCATTCCTGACTCCCCAGTGTGACTGCGGTAAGCCCTATATTTTGAACAAAATGATACTTTAATGTTATACATCCTCGCAATATGAATGTAGCTCCACAGAAACAATTTCCACGTTTTGAAATTAAGAATGATTTTCACCGTTAAAATAAGTTTATGAAAGGAAGTCAGAGTATCTGTCGTCCATAACATTTACATGTAGACATGCTGGGAGAAACTGACAAAGAACATACGACGGACATTAAAGAAACAGGCCTGAAAATGAATGTAGGTCCCAATAGAAAAGTACAGATCGAATTGAAGCTAAAACATCACGGTGAGGATAAACCGTCCCATGGAAAACATGGACATCAATATGATAGCACGATGGTAGAATAAATAATAACTCTGTAGAACAATATATTTTAAGAAGAAAATGATTCCTGCCTAAAAGTTAACAAAAATACACCAAATTATCTACAAAACACCTTTTTCTAAATAATACAATATCAAAAGGGCGGCAAGATAGACAAAAATTCAGAATATACAGTGTAAAAATGCAGGTAGACCGGAGAACTCCAATTAGGCATTCAATGAACGTCGTGGCAATGTTTTTAAATCGCATGCATTTTCGATTAGTTTTCCAGCGTTGAAATGGTCAAACGACAATTTGTGTGTGATGTGTGACTCATCGAAATACAAATCCAACAGTTGATTCACATGTCCCTAGCATTTCTCTGATCCTTAATCTCTGGAAGCTTAAAATGTGTCTGTTGGTGGATTATTGATTCTTCATATTCACCAGCCATCTTTGACTGTGGTAGGTAAGATGAATGGCTTTGTGCAGGTGGAGATGATATTCACCTGCTAGGCAATTGTTTCTGCACACAAATATTGCTTCTTCAAAGTGAAATCAATAACAATATACGTATCTAAATTCAAAAGACGAAGTGATGCACCTACCCATAAGTAATCGAAGTTTCATGTCATATTTGATAGTGGTGCTTCCTGTTGGTTTGTATGCCTTTATACAGCCTCAGTGATTCTCTGAGAGAACATATTCACAAAATGTGCAGTACTCTGTCACTATATTCAGAGGGATTCAGGGTGCTGCAACTGAAAATAGCAAAGACGAGAGGAAGCTAGTTAGCACATAGAAATGCTGTTGATTGAAGACCACAAAAATGCAATCACCGTTATGTTATACCGTCCAAATATCCTCTCATTTGAATTCCAATCATATCACGATCACAAAATTTAGCACGCAAAATATGAAAAAAGAATTTCGAGACAACAGGGCGATTTCTGAAAATATCTCTCGGTAGGCTTCTTTTAATTTGTACAATAAGACATTAACTAAAACTCACACCATAGCGATCCAAAACGCATAAAATATTGCCTGATTTGCCAGTGTTGAAATAGGCAGAGGCGAACTTGTCTGCGATTTGTGACACATTGAAATAAAATCGAACGATTTATTCATATGAAACTACCATTTATTTGATTAAAAATGTCATTCAAAGCTTGAAGTATGACTGTTTGTGGGTTGCCGATCCTAAATTAGAACCAGGTAGCTTACACTGTGTCAAAAAAGTGGATGCCTCTGTGCAGAGTGACCAAGATCATTATATGCAGCGCGATTAATTCTGGACACAAACATTCAATGCTTGAATTGAAAATAACAGTATGTTTGTCTCCGATCTCACAGGTGGCTCAACTAGCAGTAAGTTTCCTTCTAGCATTTTTATGCAATATTCCGGTTTAGAATGCATTATTACCGTAATTAATGGAAGTTTGTCCGTCACAGCATGGCAACAGCGATTCTATATGAATGTATACTCACACAATGTGTAACACTCTGGAAGTGTGTTCAGAGGAATTTAATTCACCCTAGTTGAAACCATCAGTTTTCTTTCATTCCGTTTGCCTTCTGAAGCTTCTTGTTAGTCAAGTGTCTTCATATTTTGCTCTCATTTAATTTTTTCCCTTCTTCATTTTTTTCAGTCGCTGTTTATTTCCCTGGATATGATGGTTTTTGAAGGGTCGCTCCTTCCTCTATTCCATGTTTTTTCAGCAGATTTACTTTATTTTTCCCACCTCCTATCAGGCTGTTTATTTATTGGCTTTTGATTTTATTCTCCGTCGTTCACTATCTTTGACTCGGGTTAAGATGTCGTTTTTCTTGCATTTCTCCTATTATAGTCTGGGAAATTTTCGCCAAAAACTTGTGTCTCAGATTACTGACTCATTTATCTTAGATTGATAGATGGTTTTTGGTAGTCTTGGTGTTTCCTCTAAAATAATTTCTACGCTATACAAACCACGTTGATCTCCATGTGTATCAAAACGAATTTATATATATATATATATACACCAAGCATTTGTACAGCTCATTTGTTTTTGACTACAGCCTGTGTGTATTTTGATGCGAACACTAACTTTCTCGATCATAAATATAATTTACCTACTTTTGTTGACAGATTTAAACTCTGTGCTCGAAACACCATATACACGATTATTTCTCATGTTGAATAATATATCTACGGTTGGCACGGCTGTCATTCAGTCTAGTTTCTCTGTGTTACAGTGTCGTATTTGATAGTGAATAAATACGCCTGGAGCTGCACCATTTGTACTTCTTCATGAGGTGCTCAACTTTTTTCATTGTGGTTATTGGAAAAATGGAACCGGCTATAGTATCTGACCATTTGAGACAGATGCAGTATGGCGAAAGTCAAAATCAATACCTTCAGATGAATCATCTTTCTCTGTTTTGCATCAATAGCTTGCTTATGTCTCGGAAACCTTCTCTCTCTTATCCCGCAGATATTATTCACTGTTGATATTTTACATTATGGTACCCATTATTGTTGCCTTTTCAATTAATTCAAGTTTGACTTCTAGTAGTATACTTTCGGCTGACCATTCACTTATTTGATTTCATTGGGCAGACTATGAGTATGTATGTATGGTCCTCCAGTCAGAACAAAAGAGAACAGCAGAATTCTGTTAAGCATCTGGACATCTCCAGTCTCCGATAATGATTCAAGCAAATGTTTCCTCGTAATTTCGCGTGCGTTCTATACAAATTGACCACTCAGAAGTGAAACTAAAGTCGCCTATACCTTTCTTTTGATGATGTCAAACAATCTACATTGAAAGCCTATTCCTCTTCTTTGGACGACATTTTCCCTTCTCAAATTTATCTCTAATATCACACGCTACTTGAATGGATAGTTTTCTTTATGTTGACATTACTGATTGTTTTACAGTGGTTGAACTTTCATGCTCAGCTAGGTCAAATAGGGACGCAAAAGTTATTTCACACTAAATAGTTGTGCAATGTGAAACTTTTTCATCTCATTGCTAGTTTTATAAACACTTTGAGAATATAGCAACCCGATATAACATTGCTAGATTTAATTTGGCGTAAATATAACTGTACTGTTTTCGTGTGAACGTGTATGCAGCTCAATTGTCTACGAGTGGCTCATTTAAAAAACGTACGTTTCAGAAAATTTGGCCAACTGAACAGTGTCTCATTTACAGTAATTGCACAAATAGCATGAAATAAGGAATTTCTTTTTACAACTGGTTGTGTTTACAAGTACTGTTCATATGTTTAGTACTATTAGAAAATCGATCTTCAGATTTGGTGACATCTCATCTTATTACCACAAATTGGTTCCCATAAGCATCGATATTGGTAATCTTCCCGAATTTTTTGCATTTCGCTGCCAGCAAATTGTTAATCTGTCCCATTTTTGAGAGTACATATTGTATTCCGAAATAGATAAACCCAACTTAATCATACTGGTCACATATTTGGTGAAGTGCGTGATGCAAAACAGTGACATTCCGGTACTTTGTGAATGTATTGAAAATCACCATCACTTCAAACCTTTAGAAATTGTAGCGTGACAGGAATAGGTAGTTCAAATTCCAAAATGACATACTGAGGAATAGGTGTGTAGGGGAGAGATTTTTCAGTCTACACTTTTCTGTTGGGACTCAGGAGATAATGTGTTATCATCTCGTGTCACAGGAATACTGTAGAGGCTTTTATCTCCAGAACATGATTATTGCGTTAGTACAGGTTATTCTAAGTGTTACATGGTATTGCGATTATCTTCAGAGAAGGTGTGTCTGTGACGATGTTCTCGTACTCTCATTGAAAATCCTATCTGAGAGGTAATGGTCGTAATTAATAATTTACTTATTTCAATGTGTGTATTTCGTTTCAAACTAAACTCATGGCGAACCTCTGAATTGAAATCGAATATTTATCTGTGTTCACGTATTTTTTCTAGTAAACTGGGAGACGTTTTGCATAGAATGAATAATTAATGCTTTCTTTAAGGCTTGAAAACATTCACTAATAATATCTGCTCAACTTTAATACTCACAAGAAAATTAGATATTCACGTGGCAAAAGACATGTTGCTTTGAATTATTATCCCTTCATTTGGCACACAAGTGAAGACAGTGTCAATTTGACATGGCTGAATTTCTCGAAGCGTAATGTTACTTAATGCCACAGCTACAAATTCAAGCGGAATACATCTGTGATTTGTTTACCGACGTCAAAGTGGTTAGGTGCGTATTTTGTTTGTGATTTTCAGCTCATTGAATTACATATCTGACATTTTCTTCTGATCTCCCTACCATTGCCCCGATTGTGAATATCACTGAAATTTGGAAATACGTCTGTGTATAGGTAACTGATTCTTCATGTTCCTCAGCTAGTTTTGACAGTGTTCAGTAAAATGAATGGCTTTGTGCAGATTGGCACAAATATCACCTACAACGCAATTTTTTCTGCACACAAATATTCCAAGCTTGAACTGAAAACGAACAATACGTTTGTTTCCGATCTCACAGGTGGTTCAGCTAGCAGTAAGTTTACTTCACACGTCTATTATGAATCACAGATTTATGCCATATTCGTGGTTGTAATGCTTTTTCAATGTAATTAAGTGAAAATGGTAAAGAAAATGTCAGTTGTCAACGTGTAGCTGATACAACAAACCCAACTTTCAGAATGTGTCAGCAAATGAATAGCGTCTGCTTATGTTGCCTTCACAAACAGCACTACGTAAGGATAAATCTCCGAAATCCATTACATTCAAACACTCGTCATAACCAGTTAGTTCACATGAGCAATGACACTGTTGATCATTCTGTTTTTACCATCTGCTGCCATCAGAATGTACATCTGCTCATTTTCTGATAATTTGCAGAGTATTACTAATGCATTTGGAAATAAGTGAAATTCAATTAAACCACGTTGCCAATCCATACAATGAGGCGTATCACCTAAAAATGTAGCGTCCCACTACTCTAAAAATGATACGAATACCGTCATCACTTAAAGGCTTCAGGAAATACCAGCGTAACAGGAATGAAAATTTCAAAGTACCAAATGACATATTGAGGGAAAAAATGTGAAATACAGAAGATTTTAAGCTTACATGCATCTGTTAGGACTGTGAAACTAGTGTGTAAGTATCCCGTATTGCAGACACATTTAGGAGGCTTTTGTCTTCAGTGTACTTCTTTCATTGAGACAGTTTATGTGATACTTAGTGTTGTATACGGTTTTATTTCTCTTGACAGCAGGAGTGTATCGAAGATATTTTTCACTTTATAATAAACTCAGATTTCAGAATTATATATTCCTTGACTAACTACGTATTTACCTGCATGTTTGAATTTCATTTCGACCTAAACTTACAGTTGAAAACGGTAAATTTCTGAATTGAAATTATGTATTTGTTTTTGTGTTCACGTACTTTCCCCAGTAATCTGTGAAACGTTTGCATAAAGTGAATGTTCAGGGTTTCCGTTTGCCTGAAACCTACTCTTTAATTATATGACTCTAACTTGTATGAGCATAGGAATATTCGATGAACAAGTTTCACGAGATGAGCCGCTTCACAGAATATTGCACGCGATTGGCATCTGATTGAAGACAATTTGACATGGCTGAATTTGTCGATTCCTGTTTCACCTTATGGTCTGAGCGACAGCTTCAAGCGAAATACATCTGTGATTTGTTTGCCGGCTTTCAAGTCGTCAGGTACATATTCAGTTTGGGATGTCAGACTCATTGAATTACAGATCTGACACTTTTCTCTCATCTCTCTACCATATCCCTGATCCTTAATGTCACTGAAAGCGCGAAATACGTATGTTTATAGATAACTGATTCTTCAGGTTCCTCAGCTAGTTTTGATAGTAGTCAGTAAAATGAGTGGCTTAGTTCAGATTGCCGCGGTTACGACCTGCAACGTAATCGTTTCTGCACACAAATATTCTATGCATAGAATGAAAATAACCAAAATATTTGTTTCCAATCTCACAGTAGATTCGCCTGGCTGTAAGTTTACCTTTTACTCTGGAGTGAACACAGCTTCATGATATATATTCAGTGTCGAAATGCATGCTTGTGGTGTTTCATGTTATTTTGTCCGTCGAAGCATGGCAACAGTGACTCTATATGAATGAATGTGCACCCAATGTTCAGTATTCTGTCAGTGTTTCCAGAAAGATTGCCTAATTTGGAATCCTTAGTGACTGTGTAATGCTTTTGTCTTCCGGCGTCTTTCCTTCATGGTCTCTTTTCATATTTTGCATTCTGTTTAATCCTCCTTTTTGCTTTTCGATTTTCGGCAACATTCTTGTGTACCTACTCTTCCTTTTTGCAAATCTCTTACTCCCATATATTGTCTTTGAAGCAGATTTACTTCCATTGCTAACGTGTATTTTTTCTCTTGAGAACTCAGTTTCTTTGTTTGTAAATCTTCCTAATTCTCGGCGATTTTTGTTGATTCTGATTTAAACGTCACTTTTCGTCAATTTAACTGTTTTATAGCTGGGAATATTTCGACAATAGCCTTGTGTCGTTGGCTGAAGGTTCGGTCGATTACCTGGCTTACAGAGATATTCCCTCACTCTCAGAGTTTCGTCTATTTATTATTATTATTTTATTATTGCTCCCTTGGGTTCCTAGTGGAACATAGGGCTTCAACTGCACACCTCCATTTTCTCCTGTCTTCTGCTATACTTTTCGCCTGCATCCATGTTAATCCATATTCTTTCAACTCCTCTTCACACGATCTCCTCCATGTCACCCTTGGACGTCCCACTCGCCGCTTCCCTTTCGGGTTCCACTCGCGGGCTTGGCGCTCGATGTCACCCAGCGGTCTCCTCAGCGAGTGTCTGATCCATCTCCACTTTCTTCGCCGGCTGCTTCTTCGACCAGTTTGTCGGTTTTCGCTTGTAAGTCTTCGATTGTGTGTGACATCAAACGTAAGTCATCCACGCGCGAAATCCAGGTCTTCTAGGTTCTTCACGTTGGTCCAGGATATCCCTGTCTTCTCATTTCCCACAGTCTGACGCATAATCCAGTCCACCACAATTAGGAATATCATTGGTGATAGTAAGTACCCTTGTCTGACTCCTGTGTTTACTCCAAACGCCTCGCTGAGTCTTCCGTTGTGGATCGCTTGGAAGGTGCCGTTGTCGTACAGCTGTTGAATAAGGTTGATGAATATTTAGGGTATGCCGTAGTACTCGAGTAATTTCCAAATTACTTCACGATCAACGCTGTCGAAGGCCTTCTCAAAGTCTATAAAGTTGGGGTAGAGGTTTGATTGCCATTTCATGCTTTGTTCGATGATGATGCGTAGAGTTGCAATTTGGTCAGTACGTAATTTGCTTTTCCTGAATCCACCTTGTTCTGTTAGGAGTTCTGTATCCAGTGCGTCTTTTATTCTCTCCAGGATGACGCGAATCAGGATTTTAATTGGCGTCAACAGGAGCATGATTCCTCGCCAGTTCCCGCAGAGTTCTAAGTCACCCTTCTTTGGTAGTTTCTCAAGGTAACCTTTCCTCCAGTCAGTAGGCACCTTTCCCTCCTTCCAGACCTTTTGCAATAATGGAGTCAGTCAGCATATCTGCTGTCGTCTCTGGGTCTGCTTTCAGTGCTTCAGGGGGTATTACATCTGGTCCGGCTGCTTTTCCAGCTTTCAGAAGTTTGATTTCGTTCAAGACTTCAGCTGTCGTCCGAGGATTGGTGTCAACTTGCAGTTGTGTGCGCGCTGTTTTTGGTATTTCTGGACGGGTTGCAGGTGATGGTCGGTTCAAGAGTCCTTTGAAGTGATCCGCCCATTGTTTAATCTGTTTTTCTTCCTTGGTAATGGGCTTCCCTTGGCTGTCTTTTATAGGTTTTGCTTGTGTTAGTCTCTTCACGGATAGAGATTTGGTTATCTGGTATAATGTCTTCAGGTCTTTTTCGCCTGCTGCCTTCTCAGCTTCAGTGGCGAGGTTGTCGTAGAATCGTCTTTTGTCCTTCCTAGCACTTTTCTTCACTTCTTTGTCCAATGCTTTGTAAGTTGAGCTCAGCGTCTCTTTCTCCTGTCCATCCTTGCATTGAGAGCCATTCCTTGTCTTGTCTCTTCTTTATTCCTAGAACCGATGAACACGTTTCGTTGAGAATCGCCTTCAGAGACTTCCAATGTTCTTCAACGCCTGTTTCTTCAGTGCTGTCACGTAGTGTTTCCTGCTTTGCTCTGACAGTTGCAGTGAAGGTGTCTTTTGTGGTTGTGTCCTTCAGTAATCGAGTGTTGAACTTGGATTGTGGTCTAGCCCCAGCTATCTTTGAGTCTTTTAGTTTCACCTTGAAAGTCCCTTGTACTAGATAGTGGTCTGAACCCACATCTGCTCCTCTCCTTGACCTTGTGTCCAGTAGGCTCCGTCTCCACTTTCTTGAAATCGAGATGAAGTCTATTTGATTCTTGGTGTTACCATCTGGTGAAATCCATGTCGTCTTGTGTATATCCTTGTGTTTGAACACACTTCCGCCAATCACCAAATCATTGAAGGCGCAGAAGTCTGAGAAGAGTTCGCCATTTTCGTTCATTTCACCGAGGGCCCCACGACCCATGGTGAGTTCTCTTCCTGTTTTGTCTCGTCCCAGCTTCGCATTCATGTCGTCCATCAGGATTTTGATATCGCCATTCGGGACGTTGTCCATTATTGCTTGTAGTTGTCTGTAGAACGCCTCCTTCTTCTCTTGTTCTAAGACGTGTGTAGGCGCATAGTATTGAATGACTGTAACTTTCCTTCCTTTTGAGTTGAACCTGGCTGTCACCAACCTGGAGGAGATTGGTTCCCACTGCACGAGAGCTTTGGTTGCTGTTGGTGACATCATGATAGCCACTCCCTCGGTGTGCTCATGGTTGTCCTCTAGGTGGCCGGAATAGATTACTGTCTCTCCAGTAGGTAGTTGGCACCTTCCAGTTCCGTTCCATCTGCTCTCGCAGATTCCCAACACTTCTATTCTGTACCTTCTCATTTCAGCGGCTATCTGGGCAGCCTTTCCAGTTTCGTTTATTGTGCGAACATTCCAGGTACCCATCCTTACTTTTGCTTTCATCGAAAGAAGACACATCGGCTGACTGGCTTCCCGAAGGCTTTCACCAGCCTGCGTCATTTCACTTCCCCGATTCCAGCGAAAAGTCAGACTATTGCTTATGTTTTTAGAATTTTTAAAATATTTATTCGTTGAAGTTTCTGTAGCGATTTGGTTGTTTTACAGGGGTGGAGCCGCAAGCACCACGCCCCAACCCTCTCTCTTTACCGGGGCTTGGGACCGGCGAAAAAACTAGTAAGCTAGTAGCCTAGCAAGCTAGTATCTGGCGAGGTTGCGTTTCGTCTAAAATATTTTAACAATATGTCAATCGTGTTGACACTCACGTGCATGGAAAAGAAGGAATATATCCAGCAAACATTTCTACAGCTTACTTGTGTCTTTGTATCAAGACGTGAAGAAAGCGCTCATTTTGTTCGATGTAATGTTTATTACAGTTGATGCATGCCGTTTTCTCTCTGTTGGATCTGGTGATTCTCGGGATAATGATTGCATTGGTGTTGTGCCACATCTATTTCGAACTGTCTAAAGATTCTAGCTGCTAATGAAGAGATAATTCACATACGAAAGTATAAATTTTCCTCTGGTCTTAAAGTATTGTCACAACAAATTTTCAAAAATACGTAAACGAAAAAGCAGTCGCGACAATAGTCGCCCAGAAACACGATTTTATTACTTATAGAGAATTCAAATAAGTTCATTTTATACTGAGACCTGTGCTGAATACATTGCCTGAAAGGGCGACGGAGCCTCCACAATTATTTCAACTAGCTCACACCACCTAATTCAAAAGTTCACTTCTGTTTTCTGTTTATTGCCTTGACATTTGAGGACGATTTGTCATGTAAACGTTGATTTTGATCTTGGTATATGTCAACAGGCATCCTATCTCGACTGTATTTTGTGATTTATGCAATGTTATAGCCTGTGTATGTTTTTGATGCGATTGCTAAATTTTTCTATCCTAAATTTGTGTCGCCTACCTCCGTTTAAACATTTCACTTCTATTTTCAAAACATATATTCACGATTATTTCTTATGTTGAATTATATATCGACGTTTAGCAAGATTTCATTCAGTCCCCATTCCCTGTATTACTGTGTCTAATTCGATGGTGGAATTCATAATTCCACAACTGCATAATTTTAATCATCCGACAGGGTGTTCATCTATTTTCATTTTACCTCAATGCAAATCGAACGTGAATTATTATCTTTCTATTTGACATATTCAATATCGTGAAATTCACAATCTACAAATTAATCTTCTATCTCTGTTTCGTGCGAGTAGCTTGCTTTTTTCTTAGATACCATCTCTCTCCCTCTCATTCCACAGGTTTCTTTCGCTGTTGCTTATTTACATTATGCTGCCGATTATCGTGATCTTCAAATAGCTCAATTTTCTATATCTAAGAAAAAAGCATTATTTATATTACTTCCAATGTGCATGTCAAGTTGGTGAGTATATCAGTTTTTCTTCTAAAGACATATAATCACATTGTTTTTGGAACATGAAATAAAGCGAATGCGATTCTCATTTTCACTAATTTAGATGGTTTCTCAAACACAACATTATAGAACAACTGAGAAATATTTGACATTCCCGAATTTTCAGCTTAGCATATCGATTCTAGCAAAATATTCTTCATAATTTTCACCAGCGTTTTATATAAATTGAGGATTTGGAAGTGAATCCTGAGTCTCCAAAAGTTGTCTCTTGATGATATTAAAATACATAGAGCATAAACCTATTTTTTTACTCTCAATGACTTCTTTTTTCCTTTCTCCAATGTGATCATTTTTTCGTAGACTACTTATAATGATAGTTTTTGAAGTTTTGACTACCACAGTTGTTTCCAACAGTTTAAATATCATGCCACACTACGTCCAAAAGGCGAAACAAACGTTACTTCACACCCAGCAGACGTGTAATGTGAAAAATTAACATCTCAATGCTAGTTGTATAGCATTTTTATCAAGACAATGAGCCGATGTTATAAAGCTAGAGCTAATTAAACCTAGAGAAAACTGTATCAATTTTGTGAAAACCTCGATGAAGAGGTCAATTTTCGACGTGGAGTTGAATGCACAAACATTTATTTTTCAGTAAATATCGCCGTATTATTAGCGTGACTGCACAAATAGCATGAAATATTGACTTTTCCCTTATTAGAGGCGGCACATATAAGCACTGTCCCTAAGTTAAATACTGTTTTAAAATAAATCCTCGGTATCGATAAAATATCCAACCTCATTATCATGCATTGGTTCCCACAGCGTCGAAATTTGTAATCATTCCGATTTTGTAATGTGCCTCCAGCAGATTGTATCTCTGTCTGTTTTTCGAGAATTTAATGTATATTCCTAGTGTTCTGGAAATAAAGAAATCAAACTAAATCATGTTGCCCACCCATACAGTATGATGCATGACGCGAAACAGTGGCGTGCCAGTACTTTAAAAATGATTCGATTACCGTAAAAACTTAAAAGTTTAAGAGATGAGGGGGAGACAGGGATAGTAAAACCACATTGTGAATAACGTATTGAGGAAAACAAGCGTACATGCTTCTGTTAGGACTGTGAAACTAGTGTGTAAGTATCCCGTATTGCAGACACATTTAGGAGGCTTTTGTCTTCAGTGTACTTCTTTCATTGAGACAGTTTATGTGATACTTAGTGTTATATTCGGTTTTATTTCTCTTGACAGCAGGAGTGTATCGAAGATATTTTTCACTTTATAATAAACTCAGATTTCAGAATTATATATTCCTTGACTAACTACGTATTTACCTGCATGTTTGAATTTCATTTCGACCTAAACTTACAGTTGAAAACGGTAAATTTCTGAATTGAAATTATGTATTTGTTTTTGTGTTCACGTACTTTCCCCAGTAATCTGTGAAACGTTTGCATAAAGTGAATGTTCAGGGTTTCCGTTTGCCTGAAACCTACTATTTAATTATATCACTCTAACTTGTATGAGCATAGGAATATTCGATGAACAAGTTTCACGAGATGAGCCGCTTCACAGAATATTGCACGCGATTGGCATCTGATTGAAGACAATTTGACATGGCTGAATTTGTCGATTCCTGTTTCACCTTATGGTCTGAGCGACAGCTTCAAGCGAAATACATCTGTGATTTGTTTGCCGGCTTTCAAGTCGTCAGGTACATATTCAGTTTGGGATGTCAGACTCATTGAATTACAGATCTGACAATTTCTCTCATGTCTCTACCATATCCCTGATCCTAAATGTCACTGAAAGCGCGAAATACGTATGTTTATAGATAACTGATTCTTCAGGTTCCTCAGCTAGTTTTGATAGTAGTCAGTAAAATGAGTGGCTTAGTTCAGATTGCCGCGGTTACGACCTGCAACGTAATCGTTTCTGCACACAAATATTCTATGCATAGACTGAAAATGACCAAAATATTTGTTTCCAATCTCACAGTAGATTCGCCTGGCTGTAAGTTTACTTTTTACTCTGGAGTGAACACAGCTTCATGATATATATTCAGTGTCGAAATGCATGCTTGTGGTGATTCATGTTATTATATCCGTGACAGCATGGCAACAGTGACTCTATATGAATGAATGTGCACCCAATGTTCAGTATTCTGTCAGTGTTTCCAGAAAGATTGCCTAATTTGGAATCCTTAGTGACTGTGTAATGCTTTTGTCTTCCGGCGTCTTTCCTTCATGGTCTCTTTTCATATTTTGCATTCTGTTTAATCCTCCTTTTTGCTTTTCGATTTTCGGCAACATTCTTGTGTACCTACTCTTCCTTTTTGCAAATCTCTTACTCCCATATATTGTCTTTGAAGCAGATTTACTTTCAGAGTTAACCTGTATTTTTCCTCTTATGAACTCAGTTTCTTTGTTTGTAAATTTCTGAACTCTCGACAATTTTAATTGATTCTGATTTAAACGTCGCTGTTCCCCAATTTCACTGATTTATAGTTGGGAATATTTCGACAATAGCCTTGTGTCGTTGACTGAAGTTTCGGTCGATTTTCAGGCTTACAGAAATATTCTGTCACTCTCAGTGTTTCATACATTATATTTTTTACATAATGCCAATCGTGTTGACACTCACGTGCATGGAAACGAAGGAATATATCCAGCAAACATTTCTACAGCTTACTTGTGTCTTTGTATCAAGACGTGAAGAAAGCGCTCATTTTGTTCGATGTAATGTTTATTACAGTTGATGCATGCCGTTTTCTCTCTGTTGGATCTGGTGATTCTCGGGATAATGATTGCATTGGTGTTGTGCCACATCTATTTCGAACTGTCTAAAGATTCTAGCTGCTAATGAAGAGATAATTCACATATGAAAGTATAAATTTTCCTCTGGTCTTAAAGTATTGTCACAACAAATTCTCAAAAATACGTAAACGAAAAAGCAGTCGCGACAATAGTCGCCCAGAAACTCGATTTTATTACTTATAGAGAATTCAAATCAGTTCATTTTATACTGAGACCTGTGCTGAATACATTGCCTGAAAGGGCGACGGAACCTCCACAATTATTTCAACTAGCTCACACCACCTAATTCAAAAGTTCACTTCTGTTTTCTATTTATTGCCTTGACATTTGAAGACGATTTGTCATGTAAACGTTGATTTTGATCTTGGTATATGTCAACAGGCATCCTATCTCGACTGTATTTTGTGATTTATGCAATGTTATAGCCTGTGTATGTTTTTGATGCGATTGCTAAATTTTTCTATCCTAAATTTGTGTCGCCTACCTCCGTTTAAACATTTCACTTCTATTTTCAAAACACCATATTCACGATTATTTCTTATGTTGAATTATATATCGACGTTTAGCAAGATTTCATTCAGTCCCCATTCCCTGTATTACTGTGTCTAATTCGATGGTGGAATTCATAATTCCTCAACTGCATAATTTTCAGTATCCTGCAGAGCGTTCATCTATTTTCATTTAGCTCATGACCAATAGTAGGCGTATTAATATCTTAATATATGCGACAGATCCATCGTGGTATAATTCACAATCTACATTTTCAGATGAATCTTCTTTCTGTGTGTCGTTCCCGTAGCTTACTTTTATCTTGTATATCATCATTCTCTTTTATTCCGCAGATATTTTTCACTGTTGCTGATCTACATGATGGTGCCCATTATTGTGATCATCTTCGAATATCTCAATTTTCTTTTTCTAAGAATAAGCATTCGACTGATCATTTATTCATTTGAATTGCAATGTACATGTCCAGATGGTGAGTATATGGGCTTTTATTCTACAGACCTGATATCACTTATTTAAATCACGAAATCTAGTGAATTAATTTCTCACGCAACACTAAAAGAGATAAATTCTCATATAGAATATTACTAAACAACTGATTGATGTTAAACATACCATTAAGTCTAGCTTAGGATATTGATTTTAGTAAAATATTCTTTATGATTTTCCCCTGCGTTTCATATAAATTGAGAAATTTGGAAGTAAAACTTGAGTTGCCAATAACTTTCTCTCGATGATATCATAAACTAAAGAGCACAAACCTATTCCACTGCTCTCAATGACTTCTTGTCCTTTCTCGAATGTGATACTTAATTCCTAGACTATAAAAAAGTTTTTAGAGCTTTGATTACTACAGTTTTTCCAGCAGTTGACATTTCATGCCTATGTCCAAATGGCGAAACAAACGTTATTTAACACCCAACAGACGTGCAATGAGAAAAATCTGCATAATCTGCTAGTTGTATTGCTTTTCCAACAAGACAGTGAGCCGATATAATATAGCCAGGGCTAATTAAACCCAAACATAAGCGTAATCATTTCGTTGAAACCGCGATGCAGAGGTAAATTGCCGACGTGTAGCTGAATACACAAACGTATCTTTCAGAATATGTCGCCGTATTATTAGCGTCTCCTTCGTGGTGACTGCACAAATAGTATGAAAGATTGACTTTTCCTTTACATATAAGTACTGTCCCTAAGTTAAGTACTGTAATAGTATAAATCTGCAGACTCGATGATATCCAATTTCATTATCATACATTGGTTCTCACATCGTCGATATTTTTAATAATTTCAATTGTATAATGTGCCGCCGTCAGATGGAACTTTTGTCTATTTTCTGAGAATTGAATGTGTATTCAGAGTGTCTTTGGAAATGAAAAAAATCAAACCAAAATCCTGCTGCCCGCCCATACAGTGTGATGCATGACGTAAAACAGTAGCATTTCAATACTTTCAAAATGATCAATACTGAAATGTTTAAGCAATTATAGAGAGACAGGAATAGTAAGTCCACATTAAAAATGACTTATTGAGGAAAACAAGCGTACAGGCTTCTGTAAGGACTGTGGAACTATTCAGTTATTATCCCGCATCGCAGACACGTTTAAGAGGCTGTTTTAATCAGAATACTATTTTAATTAGGGCTATTTATGTGATACTCGAGGGTTACACAATGTTTAGTTTACCTTGACAGCTGGAGTGTACTTCTTAAAAATCACATCTCAGAATAATATTCCTTGTCTAACTGCGTATTTAGCTTCATGTTCGAATTTCATTTCGACGATAATCCACAGTTGAAAACGGTAAATTTCCGAATTGAAATTATATATTTGTTTGTGTTCATGTATTTTACCTAATTAACTGAGAAACATTTGCATAAAGTATATGTTCAGGAATTTCTCCTCGCCTAAAATCAATCCTTAATTATATCACTTCCATTCGAATAAGAATATTCGATGAACAAGTTTCATGAGATAAGCTGCTTCTCAGAATATTGCATTCAATTGCCATGTGAGTGAAGACAGTGTCAAATTTGCATGTCTTAATTTCTCGAATCATATTTCTAGTCAATAACACGGAGATGGTTATAAAGTTGGCATGCACCTGTGATTTGTTTGCCCACGTTGAAGTCACCAAGCGCAAATTTCGATTGTGATGTGAGCCCCGTTGAATTACAGATCTAAAACTTTCTTCTCGTCCCCCTCCGATTTATCCGGTCCAAAATGTCATTTCAAGCTTGAAATGCGTCTATCTATTGGTTGCTGATTCTGCATAAAAATGGGTATTATTTCATGTTCTAGCTTTATTTTTACTGATGGAACTCCAACTGCAAATATATCTTTTTCTGGTATTTCCTGAATAAAACGTTTAAAACTAATTTCTGCCAACAGGTAATGCACAGCTCTCGTTACAGGCAAACTATCGTAATGTATTCAGAAATGTGTAAATCAGGCCCGCGTCGAATGTATTCCGAGTTCTTATTCTGAACATAACATGGATAGATTACTTCAGTAACATCAGGCGAAGTCTTCACTCCGGCAGTTGTCACAATGTTTTAAATTCATGGGATGAACTTTCCACTTAATGAGTCAGTCACCTGAATATAGTCATTTCAAGGCTCAACTGCGGAAAAGAAGTCACTAAAGTGTCATCATTTTATAACACCTCAAAGCTGTGCATTAAAAGACTCATTGTTTCCTTAAGTCCTTATGTTTATAGACAAGAAAACTCTTGCTGTCTTGTAAACACCTAATAATTAAAGTATAGAATGTAAACTCTGAAAATTACTACTAGTGTTTCATGACCACATGGGCTGAAGATATCCACTTTCTGCGATATGTATGCCTAAAGTCACCTACAGCAGCGGTTAATTTTTTATCGAACTGTCCAATAGCTGATTCATTAGGTTCAAAATATGCTTAGATCGCATTGATGTGGACATTTTTGATGGAGCTTTTACACAACCTTTGGCTTTAATGATACATTCAGCCAAACAATGCTACCATCAAAGTGTTTTATAATCTCGATTCACACATTTTCACGCAGGATAATAGCCTGTCATTGTTCCACTTGAATTACAAAACACTTCTAGGAGTAGTTTGCACGGATATTTCAATCAAAATGCCTTATTACTAGATATAGGTTTCGTTGTTTATTTCTCATTGATTGTTTTCTTTCTATATGCCTATAATAGCGTTTTTCTGTTAAAACCTTTTCATCACAATTTCCCAATATATTTCCAGGCTACTACAGTATGTTCTGAATATTTCATGTGATTATCTTGAAATGAGTATAGTGTTCTTCAAAGTTAGATGAAATGGGACTGCCAAGTTGCTGGTATTGTTTTCAATAGACCAGGTTGAAAATTTTGAGGAAAACGCATATCAAACTGACAAAAATTTTAAACAATAATATGAGCCAATTTGATTTCATCTTTGCGTTTTGTAACTTAGAAAGATGGAGCAAATTTCTATGTCGATAAATATACTTATTTTCAGTTATATTCATAATGACAGTGTTAAACAGTAATTGATATAAGCGGTTCGACCTTGTCATTCATGACTACTAAATTACATCTGCTTAAACATTTGACAGCCTTAGTAACTGATCTCTGGTGTTTTTATAAATATTCTGCCTGACGGTTCGACATAGCTGAATGGGTGAATTTTATTACGAGGTGTTTTTGAACGCTTCCTTTCTAATCTGATCAGAGATAACCTGAAATGAAAAGAAAAATTGTTAGAAAACATCGTGCGTTACGATGGTTAAATAAAAGCTTCTGTGTAACTTATAATCAGTGCTGAAAATTAAATCTTGTGAAGAAGATAGCTGACTATCTGAGAAGAGGAATTTGTTAGATTGTAAACATTATCGTAGATTTGTTGTAAAACCAAAAGGAATAATATTAAGTGATCAGCAATATATTAAATGAATACGCTGCTACCTAGAATGCATAGAAATACCATCTGGATCCCGCATATGTGGCTTCATGCCGCTTTCTCAAAATATTTGCACTAGCAGGTTTTTTTCAGCTTGTATTTGTGCTTCAATATGTATGGCGAATTGATTTCTTAATATTTCAATGCACTGAGATTTCTGAAAATTTTAAAATTCATGTGCACTGAAAGTGTTACTTCCGAAGTAAACTGCTGTGATATTCCTGAGTAATAAAGTGATTCACTTACACAATTAAGACTCACGGAAACAGATGTAACATGTGTCTTGAAAACGAGTTAATTTACAAGTGAAAATTTAGTTATCAGTAAAATGGTGAGAAATCATAATTATCACAAAGCAGTCTCCGAGTGAAGGAAAACAAAACGTGGTAGTAAATTTTGCCGATGCTGATTGAAACATTCACTTGGTCAGAAAGAAAAGTTATAAAGCAACTTAAATATACTTTTGTTAAAAACGTTTCATTCTCCATTTACAATTTCGCTAAAGAACAGTTTAAAAATGTTTTTTTAATCTAAAAACGTATCCCAATCATCACTGTGAAAGAAAAAATTATCACATCTGATCTAGGGGAACTTGTAGAGTTCTGGTATAATTATTGTCTAACGCCTTTTTGTACGAAAGTTATTAGACATTTACTTGAATGATTTTATCATAAAGTAAATACTTTACTACTTTAAACATGATATTTATTACAATATAAGCAATAACCTCTGCTATTAATTTAGCATTTTTGTTTTATTTCGGACTTTTAAAGTAAAAAATGGAAGTGAGTGCTGTGAAATTTAACATTATGATTTCGTTTAATTTCAGCTGAATTTCTTATTATCTTATATAAGAGTGAAAAGCCATTCATAAATATTCCGTATAGTGAGTGCCATAAAACGCTCCCTTTCATCAACTTCCTGCTATGCTAACAGGAAACAGTACATTCCCAAGTTCACTTCAGTCGTGATGATAAATTAGGTCGCACTTAGATTTGAAGAAGAATGTCTGATTAAGAGGTATTGCTAAATTCATCCACCATAAATTACTTTTATGCATCTTCGTAAGTTCAAAAACGACTCAGTGTCAACCGTTTCACTTGGAGAGCTCTCAAATATTATTATTATCTCCATGAGATCCGAGCGAATAATTGGCATTCATCAGAACGTTTCTACATTGTCACACACTATAAGGTTTCTTTTAGCTTATTTTACAACTGTTCATTATATCTCATCTCGTCTCTAACGATACATTTCACCTCACCAATGAACTGAAGACCAACTCTTCATTCCAGATCCGCAACCAACTTTGGTGTTGTACTGGAGAGCAGTGTCATTTGGTGGTCTTAACAGTTTGATACCAATCCATCTCAATTATTTTTTGCGTATTTGCTGGAGAATAGATTCTAAGTTGATTAATTTTCGTAGATTCTTCATACTTATTTTTTCTCGGTATTTGATCTTCAATTTAATGCCAGCACAGGCAGCCACTGAACGAAATACACGACCTGTGGCGCCAAGTTTCTTATCTTTAGACAGAAAATGACTTCAAATTTCTGTTGAAAATTTGAATCTTAATCAGTATACTTAGTGGTGAAGATTCACAAACTGGTCACACGGTTAACGTTAAATTGTTTCCATTTCAAAATCCACATATGACGATTTTCACATGCCTCTTTTGTTTCTTCTGGTTGCCTATCTTGTACACATATTATTAAATACTAAACTTAAGACTTACACGACAATTTTTCTTCTGGAAAATACCACCTAAGTAGTTCACCTGATAGTTCTAGTGCTTAAATGCAAAGACCTCAATGGCTAGCAATGATCTGATTAAGTTTACATATCTGATTTATTCACTATCAGGATGACTGCTGCTCTTCATAACACTATACAACACTCAATAGTTTCTTCACCTATGTAGAAATCATTCATACATTTGAATACATAAATTTTTGATTGCAAACTAGTCAGTAACTCGTGCAATGTGTCTAGTCCTATCTTTGGTGAAGACTGAATTCTATCAGTCAAGCCTGCATTGTGGCCACCATGCTAGGTGGCTCGCCATTACGGGACATTGTGAATCGTTGGTATAAGATGGTTGGAGGTAATTGGCAGAAAGCCTTGAACCTAGGCTTCGTGCTAGTTGGCACTCATCAGCGAGGCGTATCTCCAACCTTCAAGAAACTCATGTCTGAAATTCGAACCCTCTTCACCAAAGGTAGAACTAGACACATAGCACTAGTTACGGACTAGTGTGCAATGAAAAATATCCACTTAAGTCCTGCAGGAGGTCGACCACGAGCCTGAATAGCTCAGTGATCACGTCTCTGACTGCAGCACTGGGTAACGCGGGTCCAAGTCTGAGAAAGGACACTTATTTTATACGTAATTGAATTTAGATAAGGCTGTATTTTTCAGAGGAGGGATACTTTTTTGGAAAGAAAGTGGTTTCTTAAGCAAAGTATTTTTAATTTTTTTCAAAATACCCTGTCTTATTATGATGCATACGTTATTTTGATGCTGTTATGTTTAGCTAAAATAAGTAAGTGATCATCTTTTCTTTTTCTTTTTGAGGGTTGATTCTCTAAAACGCGGTTTGAGTATTTCTTATTTGTTTGCCATGTTGTATAAAATATTACGTTCTATCTTCACAGACTAGCATTTGATGAAAAAGTTAGTTTTTAGGAAAAGTCATACCTTGTTTATGTTTTAAAAGTTATGTTTATCACTTTGACATAGAAATTGAAAAAGTGTTGATTGAGTTGAAACGTATCGATTTTGTACTCAAAAGGTGCAATTAAACATATGACAGAAATAGTCGTTGAAAAGTGACCACGCAAAACAACCTCTAATTAACTCATGAGAACACGTCAAAACATTTGACTCTAACGTCGTGATCTCTAATCTCAAGAATTCAATGCATTAATAACTTTTTTGCTGACCACACAGAGATTTCAGATATAAGTAAGTTGCATATAGTTGCAGATGCTTTTTCTTTTGCAGTTTCAGCAACAATTCTTGATTGGAAAGATCCTTAACTTCATATTCCTTTCAACCAACTTTGATGATATTTTGCGTGATCCTTGAAGTATCTCTGTGTTTCTATCTAAACATTTTACTTATGTTTTCAAATTCACAGTTATGTTGCCATTTTTGAAAAAACCTTCAAATTATACTCTACATTTAAGGTTACAGTTGGGTTTATTGCGAAGAAACAAGGAACAAAATGATTTAATGATGATTTATTCACCTTTCTTGTAAATAGCAGGTTCATTTTAATAGAGGCACATATATCATCATATACTAAATGTCATTATTCTCAACGCTATTTAAATAAGCCGGTAAGTTCAATTTACTGGTTAACTATTGCGCTGATTTATATTATAAAGCTGTCCGCTTGAGTTCACGGTTATATTCACGAACTTTTCATAAGTGAATTTACACAGCACTCTGACTTTTAATTATAAATGCTAGAGCTTAAGCAATGAATGAGCTTTTTTCTTTTCGTTAAAAGAATATGATACTGTGTATACATGAACAATACCCAACGTTTAATTTGATGTTTAATGTCGGGCTAGAGATAAATGCTTCCCAGATTGCTAATGTGCCATATCTATAGAACATAAGCAACGTAGCGTCACTCGCACTAAATCTAACTAGCAAAGTGTTTTAGAATCTCAAAGAGAAATCTCACTTATTAAAATGATTTGTTTAAAACGTGAAACGGCTGTCAAGTCTGTGTTCCTTTCTTTTCTTTCAGACACCTACTAATACAGTGTTTGCAAAATTTAGAAGATATCTTCCTAAATGCAGAGATGGCAAATTATCATGGAAAGATAAAGTTTGTTACAGGGGTTCATGGATAAAGGCCTTAATTAACGATGATAAGCCAGCCATCTCCAATATTGAAAACACGCGGAAGTTTAACCCACATGTCAAAATATCTGACGATTGAGGATGCCTAGCAATAAACGAATGGTAACTCTGAGAATACTTCAATATTCATGTACACACTAATCTATCGAAAAATAAGTTCGTTATGTTGACAGAAACAGCGTCACGATAATGAAAGCAATATTAGGAAACGCGTCTTAACAACGACATATTCACTAAACGTACAACTGAACAAATAACTATTTCACCTCTACGTTGCTTCAACTCCAAAAGAATCGTTAAGTCCATCATATTTCCTCGAATACTATAATTACTCAAATGTTGATTGGATTAAAATTTTGAGTCATGTTATACACTGTGTTTTGCAATGACAGCGAAGAATTCTGATAAGCGTGAGTATTTACAAAATAATCAGTTCACTGAAATCTAATTGAATGCCAATAAAACTTATTATTCTTGTGTTCAAGGATGAGGTAGACGTACATTTGCAGTAGGCACGAAACACTTCAGCTTTTCGCTGATGCACCCACCATATGAAAGAAAGAGTGAACATGTAAATGAAGTATGAAATACGATCGAAGATCAGTCTCAAACAAGATTTTCTTCCCTTTCAATTTTTTATACATACAGAAGTGAAACCTTATGATACTCATAATGCGATTACATTTCATATTAGTTTGTTTATTAGATATATCACACAGTGAAACAATACTATTTACTGGATGACTTTTCGAACAAAATTTACTGTTCATAATCATATCAATTGCGATAATATTTCAATGAACGCAGTTAATCACTTTTACGAATATACACAGTTCGGGTAATTGTTGAAGAATGTAAGTTAAGGAATTCGTCTAATTTACTCATTTTTTCACTTTCAATTCAATGGTAAACAGTAGGTTGCTTTTCAGTATTGTGCAGATTTGTACATAGAAGCAATTTCCTGTTTGCTAATGATTCTAGTAAAATGATAAATAAACATAAAATCTATATGTTCTGCTAAACTGTGGATAATAATTGGTATTGCTATTGTAGAAGCATGGAGACGAGATTTGGTGTAAAGAAAAATAAAGCCTTTATTTAGTAGCACTAGCAGCAAAATGCACTTATTATATTTTCGTGATTTTACATTCTTTTATTTTGCATCTAGGTATGAAACATCGTAAGTACACTTACAAAAATGTGTCTTTTAATTTTTCATTTGTGGGAAAGCGACTTGCTTTCATGTCAAAGTTTTTCAAAAGCAAAGTCATACAGAGCATAATTAATTCGTGAAGTACTACACAACAAACGTGACACTGAAGACTTACACTGAACAAAGTAAACTGCAGAGTTATTTATAGGTCCAGACACTTTTGAATAAATCAAACGCACTGGTCAGGTGAGTGTGCTCTTCAGCTTTGCTGTATTACAAAGCATACTATGCGTTTTCATTCTGTGTCACCGTGATTCACAATAGAGGCTTTTTTCACCCATACTTAGTTATTTTTACTTTGGTGACAATGTAATCAAACCACAGTATTTCGTTCTTGAAAACTCATCTGAAGTAATCCTGATTTTTGTGTTTAGTTGGATGATGAAGATTGATAAGAGTCATTCATAACATATTACAACTTGACGTTAACTTTCTGTAACAGTAGATGGTTAGTTAAATTCGAAAGTGAGCGGTACACTTATGAACAGAAAGCAATGCATGTATAAACAATTGCCACAGTTTTACTGACAAAAGTTAGGAAGGGCACATTTACATTATTTTTACGTAACTAATGGATATAAAGACGATCTGAAAAGCTGCCGATTTCAACCTTAACGGCAAAGCCACACGTTGCATTTGTGGTCTTAATTTAAATCAAGAAAAAGACGGACAAACAAACTTTAACTGATTCCAATGAAAAACTTTGAACGCATGTGAACGTAATTTGTGTCGATTATCTGTCCTTAGATATTAATCAATACATGGAGAGCTCAGTTAGCTGTAGACATTTACCTCCGAAGAAGATGTTCCATCATTTGTATACATTATAAATAATAAAATAAAGAATAATTACTACGGGTGAATTTACCAATATTCGTTGAAGTCAAAGGAACTATCGTAAACTTAATAATTCGGGCACTTGATGAAATGCGGCTGACCACAATTTCTGAGAGTTATGTCTTTAAATTTCAAGATAAACGCAGTAAACCATGTTTCCTATATAGAGCGTCCTGACTCATTTATTAGACGGCAATCATTTGTATGACTTTCTCACCAGGAAGACTAGTGTTTTCAATTCCAATATGAGTAAAATTTGTTTTGATGGATCCTCACGGTGAAACACAGTAATATTTGCTGATGCTCACGTTTTGGGCAGAATTTAGTGCTCTTAATCATATGAAGTGCGTCGGTGGCACGGTGGTTAGGACGCTCGCCGATCAAGCACACGGTTCGGGGTTCTATTCCCGGCCAACACACACCTGATATTTATGGTTGGCCTGCAAAATTGGGGCTACCGATATTCATGCTGAAAATTCCATACTTGTACCAAAAATACAGTGTGGAATCAAGCTGTAATCAAAAAAAAATAATAAAATTAAACAATAAATTGGTTGAAACGTCCTCAATAAATATCTTTGTTCAACATTGTGAAACGTTATCAAAATTAATTTTAACCTCAATGGAATAATATTATACGACGCTGCACAAGTTTCATTTTTATACCAATATTGGTATTAAACCTTGAAATTCACTTTTAAAAAATTTCGTCTTTCCTAGAACCAGCCGGAGTTTGTAAGAAATTTGATATTCTTTTGTTCAATAGCCTCCCTATTCTAAAAGCAGTGGTCTTTGGTTAGGGTGAAATCAGTGTCAAAATTATTCCAGTAACCATTGTACTATTACACCTCTTTATCGATTACTTCAAAAGATGAAGACATCTTTCTTCAGAAAATCTGTACTTAAACTGATATATGACATTTAAAAAATCAGTTTACATCGAAACACAACTGTTCGGTTTCCTAAGATTCTGTTTATTTTAAATGGAATTGTGCAACGTTTAAGGTGTTGTAAGGCGGCATACTGCAATTATAGTTAACGACTCGTGTTCTGAAATTCCCGGCTCAAACTTCAAAAAATTAATTAAATTAAAACTAATTACCTTCGCAATGGACAATCGCTAATATCTTCCCATTGTCTACCCTGTTCAAAATGTCTAATAGTTGTACTAGAAACATTCCACATATATGCCTTATGCAAAATCAATATATTTTTGGCAAAGTTACCATACAGTTTTGCAAACGAGGATTTACGGTTTAATCAAAAGTGATGTAAAATGAAGCCCCATTAATATGAGAAATTAAAAGTTCCTTGTCTGCCATGATGAGAGCGACTAAAAATCAATATAATTCAATTAACAAAGAAAATACCTGCTAATAGTTTCACTCCGATCTATCGAGGTGATTATAAATAAATGATATTCTTTTTATTGACAATTAGATCCAGAATGTCGCTGATATTATTGGAATTATTTTTCGAGCTTAGTTTCAGTAACTAAATGGTGTGGTTTGCTCATTGTATACCTGGACGATTTTATAAGTAGGCCAGTTGCTGTATCGCCTTGAAATCCTTAGCAGATAGTTAACCGACGTGTTTAATCCCGTCTGTCAACTGGAAATTTTATTATTTTGATGCCACAAAAAATTCAATTGTGGAGGATAGCAGTTTGTTTTACTGCACTTAGAGCCTTTATTCACCAGTTTGCGCATGAAAAATATGTTCGGATAGCTTTTGACAGTAAATTGTGTATCTGAGAGCAAACCTTAAATCCTGCAAATACAAACCTTAAATTCACCCAAAAGGTGCATATCTATTAATAAAATCAATTTTATAACAACATCCTCGTACAAAACGAGGATTAGTGATGATTTGACTTATAGACATTTCGGCAATCTGTTCAAAAACCTATATTCAAGCTCACAGATTTTATGCAAAAAGTTCAGTACAAGATTACAGACAAATGTGGTGTGAAAAAAAGTTTTTATTAGCTAAACATTGTCATCAAAAGTGAACGAAATTGAAACATCGTTTTTCTCCTCTAGACTTAGACATACAGCTTTTCAGTAAGTTAAATTTTTCTAGTAGATGTGAAGTCGATAAAATAATTATTTCCCTCTTAATATTCTGATCACACTCTTCACTTATAAATTATTAGAAATAATCCCAGCGTTCTCAGAAAAGTTTAAAATCTTTTCAGCCTATATATATATGCTGGAGTTACATCGTGGTCACCAGCACCTGAAATTGTGTCAGAATTGTATGTGAAAGCTCAGGGATTAAAAACACTGACGAGTTTAATATGTTATCCTAACATATGGTACGAATATGTAGACCACCCATTTATTATCACTAAGAGACTAAAAAATTACACAGATTAACTTTATCTCAGAATATATTCAGTTGACTAATCAGCTGAAGGAACGCCTGACTTTCTGGATTGTCTTTTAGAAAGACAAACTGACAAGAAACTAAAGTTTTCAATGTACAGAAAACCGTTATATTTGAATTCTCGATCAAGTCAACTCAAAGAAATAAATGTTTCAGTGACTTTTTATCTTATTACGGGATACAAGCTACAAACAAATAAAACTTGTAGCAGATAAGACATAAGATTGAAAGCTGTGCTCTAATCACAGCACTAAACCTAATAGCAAGACAGCTTTCTAAGCCAAAACGTGGAAATGTAGATGAAATTCGGTAACAAAACATGCCGAAATAAGCCACTTGTTATGAGAAATCTGCAGCATTCTCAAATTCCCAATAATAAACCACGCTTTGGCATTCGTAAAGCACCACCTTTCTTGTGGTATCCGGAACGCTCCTTTCGGCCCTGGAAAATTCGAACCAGGCAGTATAATTTTCGTGGCAGGCCGTTCCATATCCAAAGCAGGTCTTCAAGGTGAACAGCCTCTGGCAATTGAACAATGTAGGTAGCGGAATTCGGTGAATGAGATCCGTATCTTTGGGAGAAGGATTGGCTCTTGGGCCGATTCAGACAATCCGAGATCAGATACGTGTCGTTCCAGTTGAAGGCTATAGTAAGGTAAACTGGGTATTCGAAGAATCACTTTTAACATCCCCTGAATGGGGCGAGTACTTCGCAACTGGTGACATCTCAAGAGCTCTGAGCAACTTCTACCAGAACTCAAACACATGCTTAGATGCTGTCATTTCACTTCAAATTCTAAAGGTTTCCTCACATAGAAAGTCATTTATGAAATCAAAAGATCATACGAAACTGAAGAGACTCTTGACAAGTTACCTTAAAAACTACGACTTTGGCACACTATGTTTATTACTTAACGCTCTCAGTTCCGTGTCACATGCTCAAGCTTTGCGTATGAGAAATGAAGAACTCACGTCACTGACCAGCCCTGCTAAGATCTACGCCCTCACAAAAGTCCTAAATAAGCGAATGAACCGCAAAAATCACAGCATTTCTCTCCTCATAGACAAAGGTAGGCTATGCACTGATTCTGCAGACGGATGTGAATCATTCAACAACACATTTGCAGCTAACTACCTGAAGCCTACAGTCTAGGTCCTCGGTATATATCCTTCTACCAAAATAGCACAAACGCCATCTCCACGCACACCAAAACAAATTAGTACTGTTGAATTCACTTATGCTAACATTAACTCAACCCATAAAAGCTCAAAAGGTTTTGGTAGTAACGGTATATCATCCTATTTGAATACATATGGTAGCCCCGGAATTCATTTATTACTGCTTGAAATATTAACTAAGTCCTGCGAAACCCAAACTTACTTGACACATTGAAAGCAACAATCATTATTCCTAATCACAAATATAGCTCGAAAACAAAAGTCAGAAGCTACAACCCGATCAATAACACACGTTTCGCATCTACAATCCTGGAGAGACTAGTTAAAGATAACCTAATCAAGCATATGCTTAGATGCAACATTATAAGTCCGAACCAACATATATTTTTAAAATCCAGATCTTATTTGACATGCCACCTAGACTTCTTCAATTTTGTGGCCAGCAGTCGTGACAGACGACAAATAGTACTTGTAACCTATTTTGACTTTTGACCGTGTCCACCATTTACTGCTAAAACATAATCTGAACTCCATAAGAATTTGTGATCGACTAATAGGATGGCTCAAATCGTTCCTCAACAACTGGTCTCACAATAATTACACTCGAGTTTGTACCTTCCAAACCTAGCTCAATCATTTCTGGCGTAATACAATGTAGTATCATTGGGCCCCTAATATTACCATTATATATCAACGTCATATGCGCTTGCTTCAATCTAGAGGACCAAAAAGCAGCTTGCAGATTCTGGTGTGATGACCTAGGGTACTTCCAGAATGTTGTTCAGAAAGAATTAGATAAAGATACTGCTTAATTATCTTTATGGTATCTACAATTTAACGTGAACAAATGTGGTTTAATCTGCTTCGGCGCACCCTCAATTGACTAGAAATTAACGCTTCAATCTACTGACCTAACCAGACCCTAAAGTGTCATTGGCTTAGGCCTGAGGTACTCTAGTGAGCTAACATTCTCTGGGCAAGTGGCATCACAGACTCGAAAGCCGAGGATGCTTTTAGGATGCATACTCAAAATCTTTCACGACAATGAAGTCAAACTAATTCTGTGCTTAACATGTGTAAGGCCACTACTAGAAAACTGTCGATTTATTATTAGCAGAAGTCGCCCGCGTTCACGATAAAGAATTAAAGTAACCGACGATGTTAAACCCTTAAGCATCTACGATACGATTGTAGGAAAGACTATATCTCACGGTACATCATTCCATATCTTCACCTGAATTTAGCAAGCCAATGTATTATAAACCTAGTATTCTTCTTGTAGGTTCCACACATAATATCAGTCTCATATATAATTACATACATTTCGCAGAGGAAGGCGTTTACGATCTGCGTTACCGAATTTTACGGTGACAATAAAAGCCTTTAAATCAACACCCTGAGAATACGTCTTCACAGTCATGTATTCTAATATATGGAACAGCCTGCCTCCATAAGTAAGAACTTGCATCACAGCTATAAGTTTCAACGCTCCCTGTACAGACTGATTCACTTTACTTATAACGTCAATAAACTATTCATTTCAAGAACGAATAAATTATAAATTTACTACAGTTCCCAAAAAACACACCCTTATACCTTAATGACCTTAATAAATGATAGATAAACTACACGCATATATGCATAAAAGACTAAGTAGAAATAAATCTGTACGTCTACTAAATTACAATGTACAATGACTATAAACATACAAGCACAAACACACCCTTTCTTTGCTCTATAGTACTTTGCTGCTTGCCTCCTCTTTTCTATTTGACTTGTAGTAGAACTTGCACAAGTCTACATTCAGAATAAAGCTGAAAAACAGTTGAAATCACTTGTTCATATATCATCCTCCAAGGTTTGGCTTGTAATGACTCAGCATCCTCGGGATATCTACTGTCACTATATAACAAGCAGCTGTACAGCATCCTTTACAAGTACTGTCAATGATCTCAAATAGCTTATAAATAGCTATCCACGTGTTAATCAACTTACTCGTAGGGAACAACCATGCAGTGATAAATGACGTCTTTAACTGACGTGGGTGCAGTGAAACAAATCTGCGTGAAAATAATCTATATTGATCTGCATTTAGTAGAATTCAGATCTATTGTTGTTCACAGTAAAAATGCTGATAAAATCATGCAAATATATCCCTCATTTCAAATTAATACCCAATGTGAATACAAATCAACAACGAGATACGATGCCGCAAACAACAAAGTGATACAGAAGAAGTGACGTCAAGCTTTATTTTTTCTCAAATATTTTTAATCCATCCAACACATACTTGATATTTTGTTGTTTCTAAGACAATTTTTATGTATATCTTAATGTGTTCCATTTAATGATAAGGTAGCAGATTGTACTCACAAACGAATGTCGGAAAAATACAGCGACCATAAGAATTCACCATGAATCAATTACATTTGATGTAAATAATACTCATCCGTGTGTGTACAACTGGTGTATACTACGTAGATAGGAATAAATTTATTATTTTTATTATCCTTATCCAAGCTATCATTTCACAACCTTTTTCCTCATTTCAGACGACCACAATGGTGAGAAAGCAGCATATTTTGTTATTGTTCCATTTTAATTACATTATAGTTCTTCTAACCACTTTGTCATCATAGCATCATTCACTCAACTTTAATCATTAACATAAAATAAAGTCATTATCCTCTGAATTCAGAAGATAGAAGAATCATACTGTTTGTGATCCCACTGTCCAATAGTAATGATTTAACTGAAATTCACAAAAAAGATATAAAACGTAAGTTGTATACGCCCTTCTTTACCGTTATTTAATAATTAGAATATTTCTTGATAGTGGACATGAATTTGACACCATTTGAAGTACTAAACTACTATGCTCCCAGGAACCGTCATTTGTTGTCCGTAGAAGTGAGGAAGAGATGACTTATCCTCACAGAAACATAAGCTAACAATGCTGTTGTATATGTTTTCTTACATTTGCATATCATGTACATAAATTCCAAATCTGTCGTTACCATGGGTGCTGAGTTCCTTGAATGATGTTGTGACTCTTCTCAGGTCCATAAAGATTTAGGAAGAATTAATTTAACATATTCGATATTGTTTCAAACCATCAAACAGTTATCCGTTGCTTGTTTTGTACAACGAAAACTGCAAAGATTTCACGGTTATTATTAAAGGGTGAAGCATAGACATTTCGTTTCATTAGTGAACATGAGACTACTTTGTTCGCAGATTGTGTACTTTAACAATATGGGACATGGCTTGGGTGAAGAAATTATCGTACTGTTTTCTAATATCCGAACGAAATTAACCTTATTTCGGATGTCAGACAAACGTTTCAGAGAGATGAGAATTGAGAGACTGTTACGTAAATGGAAGTTGTTTGACCAACGATGTAACACTGCTTTCGAAATGAGGCAGTCTCAAGGCAATATTTGAAATATTCATTTCTGTCTATTATGAAATTGTAATAGCACGTGCATTGGTGGCACTGTGGTTAGGACGCTCGCCGATCATGCACATGGTCCGTGGTTTGATCCCCTGCCGACGTACACCTGATATCTATGATCGGCCTGCAAAATGTGGGCTACTGATATCACATGCTGAGAATTTCATTCATGTACCAAAATACGGTGTGAAATCAAGCTGTAATCAAAATTGTAAAAGAAATATTTGTGGTTAATTATTCTGCAGTTGATTGTGAAGTGGGCATTTCGTACTCTCGTTTCACCATGCTGTCAATTACGTGAACGAACAGTTTTATTCGCTGAAAAATTAGCGATTTGTTTTGATTACGTAAAATCATTAGTTTTTGAAAAGGTATCAATTTGAACCGAAATCGTCACTAATTACAGTTTTGAGGCGCTAGACACTTGAACTTAGGTAACGATTTCTAGCATACAATTTCTCTGAAATTCTCATGCCGTTTAAAATGCATTGAATTACTCAAGGCAAGGGCGGTAAGCAATGTGATTTTGAACGTAGAAGAAACAGGTTTCTGTTTGTTTACTCTATATTAGTAGAAACGTGAAACTATCTACAAAACTTCATAATTGTAGTAAACATACTTGCTCTCTAATTACCTACTGAGTCTCAAACAGTCAGACAAACGTAATTTTATAAAAAAGGGTTACAGAATACTAATTTACTCTGGTTATTTCACTTGTGACTGCGTAAACCGTATGAAAAATATGACATAATTCCATGGTTGCTTGTTGATATCGTCACATCCGTTTTTAAGTTTCTGTACTAGGTTAATTTTTATTATGTAACAATATTGATACCATATAACTGTACATCGTTATTGATAGCTGTCGACTAAAGTTGTCGTTTTCCACATGTCCAAATAAATGCAGAAATCATAATGAATAGAAAAAGCAGGTATACACAGGAGCCTAAACATCATTTTGTTTTTTTTTTATTCAAAAACCATTTAGAGATATTTCGTAAGTTAACCTTATTTTGTAGACGCTAGATATACGTCTCAAACAGGGATTTACAAACTGTGATTTATGAAATCGTGCGCAATTCATTCACTGGGTGACTTATCTTTATGTACGCATGAAGAACTGTTTCACATCAACACATCAAACATCCAATATACACAGGATCTCTGTTTATAGTTTGATGTGACTCAGCACAGCACATAACTGGCTTGAAAATCAGCAGCGACTAATTATCATGTTGCACTTTGCCTAACGCAATTGGGTAAACGAACGAATAGCGAACATCTTAAGCATACGCATTCATTAACTGGTTAGCTATATAACATAAATGCTTGTAAAAATGGCGATGAAGATTTCAATTTTATCCTACAACACATTAACAAGTTATTCTACTGAAGGGCTTAAAGGATTTACCTCCTGGTATTTGCGACTTCACATCGACATCAAAACTATCACAGTCATGCAGACTGAAGTACATCCAGCTCTGGAAGCATAATCTATTTGATTTCACAGGACAGGCTGTTTAAGGAAATAATGTGATCACGAAACGGTGAAAGTAACGAAAGCTAAATCAGTGTTCCTTTATATCCCAGTGGAAATTTCAAACATACTTAACTCAGTTTATTATGATCTGTTTTGAGTCATCACACAAAAAAAATTTTCTAAAAACGTGGCATCCTGCTGCAAACAACTGATATGATCACGAAGGACGAATCGTGATTGAAGCCTCCTCAAGTGAGCAATACTGTTTCACTGTGTCAAATATTCAGCGTATGTCGTTAAATTAAATGAACTCCGTTTATGAAAAAAATACCCCGATTGTCCAAAAACTACCATGTAACATATTATGTTTAAAATCAGATTACTTATGTGAGTTCCATATTAGCATTATATGCACTAAAGTCATTTTGCCTCACCACTTGGGAAACGTCAATTATATCACTATTAATATATGGTCGATAAAATGTAAGAAATAATTTCCGAATGAAATCAAGTTGCACCATTCCTGCAAAGGAATTCTTTAGAAATGAATTTAAATTGTAAGAGAATTTGAGATAGATGATGTAGGTGGATATTTGCTCACAATGACAGAGTGTAATGATCCAATTCAGTGAAGTACTGCACAGCACAAAACGTTTCCTTCTTTCACTCTCACTTTATCATCAAAAACCATTTCTCAATAGTGTTGAAACCCGTGCTGTGTAGGAAAAGTTAGGAGAGACATCTTTTATATGAGAGACTATGAATAGTTATTGTGAATATTGGCTCTCTTAATTCTAGATAAGAGTAAGCCACTTTCGATTCAATTTATGAATATATCGCATGTAATAATGATACTTATCCGTTGATTTTAAATCTCTTATGCTTATTGACAAACCCATAGCAAGCGAAAATTATCTGAAAATCACCGTTTAACTTACAATACATGCAAAAAACAGTAAAGCTGATTTTAATTGCACTCTGACAGTGCTGATTTCACGCCTGAATGAATCTCGTATTCATTTTCCTATGGATACAATGTAGACTAGATTATCGAAAAAAACTTTATACTGCTGCATATGCGTCACATTTTGTACACTTCTGCTACATGCTGAATTCCTAACGTAACCTCTCTTGTGAATTGTTACATCAAGACTGTGTGATCAGACACTGAGTAGCTCTAGCAGTACGTATAAAGTGTCATAAGTAATAATCCTCACTTTTTCAACATCGTATAAAAGCTGATTGGATTACGAGCCCTGAAACATTGTGGCAATGTTAAATATCCACTGAATTACGTAAACAAGTAACCGCTATCTACAATTCTGCCGTAGAATGTCGTGAGTATATGTTTGCTTTCTTTAACGGAAATTTTTTAAATTTTTGTTCTCGTGGAGCAACTGTGAGGAATGGATGAAATATTTGATAAGTATTCGAGTAGAATTGACAATGATTTCAGTAAAAAAATGATCTGTTTTCATAGCGCTGTCAATATTTCTTGGTAATAACTTCTATTTAAGGTTTTAAATGCAGGCAAATAGCTCAAAGATTAATATTGCATGTGGTTTATCAAGACAGTAACACTGTATCTATTCGGTTTAATGGAAAGCAAAATCGTTCTACCCGTGATATACACAAAGAATATATTGATTTAAATTTCAGTAAACTGTAATGTACTGACCAGCCTAGCAAAGATGATTCAGGTTAACTGAACATTCCATTGCTTTGGCATAGGGTGTAAAATTCAATAATACTCTACCTTCGGTATCAAAAAAATAGAATTCAGGTGTTTGGTCATGTCGACCTTTTAGATAATGCGTTATTAACACCAAATATTTGAATCAAGGATAAGCATCTAAGAAACTATTCAGAACACGACTGACATTTTCAAGACCTATCAGATTTAAAGAGTGTCCGAAATTAAACAAATGACACCTGGTCATCTTTGGAGGATATCATATTAAACATTGAATGTTGATATCTCCAGTTAAAAGCGCGAACTAGCCTGTGTATGCACCTGCGGAGTACAAAGACTCAACAACAAACATTACTGATGCAGAGAATATCTGTACATTTGGGTGTCAATAGTCACATTTTTAAATTAAACCATTTGTGCCGGCAATATTTCTGAAATCTGTCATTACAAGAACATTTATTGTTACCACAAAAGAGGAAATATCGATTTCACCCAGGTTCATGAGAACGTTAGCAATCAAAAGAATGCCATGTAGAATGTGAATGCTGGTAACATGCTTATCACCTGTTTGGCGAAAGTATTTTGATTGATTGTATGTTTGAGTTTGTTAATGATCGCTATATGAGATTCATTTGGCGAATGCAACTTTTATACACGCGTGTTGTAGATTCTTTAACCGTCCAATTTCACAAAATATTTGTAATTTGTACTATAGTGATAGAATAACGTTTTCACCTGGATTATTGGATATTCGGTGTTATACTGAGCATTTTAAAACACTCAAAGTACTGCAAAACTTATTTGTTTACACTCACATACTGAAAAACTGTTTAACAAAAGTCTAAACAGGCAAAGATAAACCCGTGGAAAAAAAGCGAATGATTTCATATTTGAATTACACCTTGTAATCGCCAACTTTAGTGTTTTTTGAGTAACT